CTGCGGTTGCCTCCCGTTCTAATTGGCCAGTTTGGATGCATGAAACAGACGCCCCTGCGTGCCAGCCCAAGAGAAGAAGATAAGACGGGAAGACCCAAGAGGCAAACTCAGGGGTGTCGGAGGGCCCGGCAGCCAAGCCCAGTGCGGCCACAAGAAGACCAAGAGAACAACCAAGAAAAATGTTAGGGCCTGAGGAGTTGGGCAGTGCAGACTTTCTGACTGTTGTGTTAGACACAGACACAGTTCTGGTAACCTCTCCACAGTAGTTCTTCCCTGGACCAGAGCTCACCGTGAACCACACGACCACAAACAAATCCAGGATCTCAGGAAGGAGGCTCATGTGCTCTTTGTGTGGAAGACATCTGCTCCGAGGGCATGCTCTGTAGTTTCTATTAGCAATCCCACGGGAGCTTCTGAAAGCTCCTGATGCCTGCCTCCTCCCACGCCACTTAACTCCACTTCTTAATCTTGGCTGCACATTGGAACCACCTGGAAAACTTTAAAACATGGATGCCTGCATTCTCTCCCTGACTCTTCCACCTGGAGCTTCTAATTTAATTAGTCTGGGTGGGGGGGGGGGGGTGCAGCCGGGACTGTTTAAAAGTTCCCCAGGTAGGGGCACCAGGGTGGCTCTGTTGGTTAAGCCTCCAACTTCGGCTCAGGTCATGATCTCACAGTTTGTGAGTTCGAGCCCCATGTTGGGCTCTGTGCTGACAGCTCAGAGCCTGGAGCCTGCCTTGGATTCTGGGTCTCCCTCTCTCTCTCTCTGCCCCTCCCCCTCCCTTATTCACGCTCTTTTTCTCTCAAAAATAAATAAACATGAAAAAAAAATTTAACTCGAATGTGCAGACAAGGTTGGGAACCACTGCCTAAGAAAAACCTGGGAACCAGAGATTCTGATCAGGGAGCTCTGGGTGGGGGTTCAGGAATTTCTATTTAGACAACCTTCCCAAAACAGGTGGTACCTACATTCCACTTGAAGAGATGATGTGCTTGGCTGTCTCTATATGGTACAAAAACAACAATATGAATTTAATTGCATCAATTCAGGAAAATCAATCTGATTATCTCACATTGGGTAGACATAACATCCTGTTGATGGGTTAAATTGTCCCCCTTTAAAGCAATTATCTTGATCTCCTATTGAAAAGGCTGTCACACACTATTAGCCTAGGCATTTTGATTGCATTGATTGATCCATTCCATCAGGGCCCGTAAAGACCTCATCTTGTACCCCCCACGAAACCACAATGTCTGGGACACAGAGGACAATCAAGTAGCAAAGTGAAACCAGTAGTTACCTGGGAATCTTAAAAAAAACAAACAAACAAAACTTACCAGGGCCACCCTTAGACTAAATGAATAGAAACGTTTGGTGTGGGGCCTAGCATTAGTTCTATCAGCTGTTTAGATAATGGATGAGTTTTTTAGCCAAGACATCCAAACCGTGTGTGTATATAAGCCTTGTCTCCATCTTTCTTGGATACCACTCTCTTCCTCTCTTGGTTGGGAGGAGATGCCTCTGTCAGCCTGGCAGATGGATAATGCCTAAGCTTCTCTCTCCCTAGCTTCCCTTCCTAATCTCCCAAATGGACTTGTCACATCCAGTGAGCTTTAGTACTTAGAGATTTGCAGCTCTCCGTAAAATCCTTCCTTGGTTGACTAGTGAGCTCCCAAGAGGAAGACACAGGCTCACATTAGCATATCCAAGGCTTGACTGAATAACGTTCTGGAAATATTGAACTGGTGGACTTCCTAAAACAGCAGCAGCTGACAATGCCCACCCCTTAATGTGGGTTCTGGACCCACCATACACCTGGAGGGGAAAGGAGATTTCTCCAGAATGGGATGAGGAGGGATATGGGTCTCAGGAAGGAAGGGGACAGGGTAGGAAGGCATAAGGAATGAGGGGCATGGGAGCAGGTTGGGATGATAGGGCGGCGGGGCTCTGGGCATGAGCCCAGAAAGAGGCTGGAGGCAGACAGATGCTGCTTGTGGGTGGGACTGGCTCAGCACTGGACAGGTAGGCCTCGAAGGAATCCAGTCCCAGTTACTGAATCCTCACCTGGGTCCCTTGTGTCAACTCCCTGCCCTGGTAAGCGGCTTGGACCTGGACTCTGCCAAAATTGGCTTCACGGCCTGGCAGTCAGCCCTGCCCCAGCCTGGGATCCATGTCAGGAACCTGCTCTCTGAGATAGACTTCCTGGATGCAGTGCTGCCAAAGGCATCCACATGCCACTGAGATAAGGTGACACTGGAGCAGAGACCTGAAGGAAGGAGGGGGTAAGCTATGTGAATGTGTGGGGAAAGGGCGTTATAAGCAAAGTGAACACAAGTGCAATAGCCCTGGGGCACGGATGCACTTGAGTTGTTCAAGGAGCAAGTGGACTAAAATGATCTGAGGAATGGGATAAGAAATGGGGTAGGAGAGGTGGCGGAGGTAAGATGTAAAGGGACTTACAGGCCAGGTTAGGAACATGGATTTTACTCTGAGTGAAATGAACAAGATACTGTTGTCAACTCACAAAACTTGCAGCCCAAAACAACTAAAATAACAAGGGATGAGCGGAGACAAGTCAGAAGAATTAGGATGTGGTCCTCTTTCTAGCTCCATCTCTGTGATAAAACCTGACGGCAAGTTCTATTTCCACTACACCAGCTGCTGGGTCCTTCACCCCAGAAGCAGCTCCACCCCAGGGGGACTGCCCTGCTCCTTCCCCCCTCTGTCTACCTTGCCCGTGTGCAGTTAGGCCATCCTTGCCCTACATCACTAAGCATGAAAAGTGTTC